TTAAATTAGGTAATATTACATACATACCTTATTTGTTGCGTCATAAATCGTGTAAATTACTTCCTTGTTTATTTATAACTATTGTTTTTATGTGATATAAATTAAACTCAATTTATGCATGTAAAGAAAGGCCAAAACAAATTCAAGGTATGTGAATCGTAAAAGGAAATTTACTTTTTTTTGGTCTTTTCTTGGTTCATTCAATTTCACAATCTATTCAGGCACGGTTATATGTACATGTAGCTATTGCATGTAAGAATTAATCATGTAAATGGAATATAACTGTTTGGATTTGAACACTTGTCAACGTCTTTTTTATACTTAACAAATGAAAGATCTTTACTTTGGTGTAGGCTTCTTGTCAGATTTACTATTACGTACCTTAACGGTTTTTTGCGTCTTTGTTTATTTGTATGTTTGTTGGAATTCTTTATCATCTATGTGTTTTGATATTGTGTAGGCACGCTTATTGTTTTTTGCGCTAAAATTAAATTTTCACTTTTTGACACATTTGTTACCTTCAATTTGTTTTGCAGAAAATTGATTTTCTTCTTGTCTTATGCAAGATGTCTTATTAGACCAAGGTATTCATTTTTAAAACATCCTGCAACCCCACACCTATCCAAGTAAATCAAATGGTCACCCCTTAAGCATGTTAAGTAAAACTAGTTTAGATGCCTGCGAACGATTTATTGAATTTATATATTTAGCAATGGTTGGTTTGAATATAGGGAAAATATCAAAAACATATCTGCCTGAATTGGGTATTTTACAAAAAAAGAAGATGTGGTATGATTGCCAATGAGACAACTCTCCACAAGAGATCAAATGACACAGAAATTTACAATTATAGGTCACCGTTCGGCCTTCAACAATAAGCAAAGCCCAATTTGTTTAGTGTTGTAATGAAATACTGCACTGATAGATATGCATTTGTTACACAATAATATTTTAAAAGTAAGTGAATATGCTAGGTACATTGATCAAATAGAAGCAAACAGGTCCATAAATGAACGTTATGTAGTCATATTGTCCTCGAACCAGGATGCTGTCAGAAGCTGAACCAAGGCTGTTGTACAAACTAAAGAGCGATCTATAAGGTTACAAGATAAAGGCATCAATGTCATAGGTCATACATATATCATTTTTTATTTTGGTTGTTCTTTTTATTTGCAACATTGTTAAAAATGAAATATTATGCATGATATTTTTGATGCATACAGATGTTTTATCTTTATTCTATTGACTTATTCAATAGATTGACGGCTGCAGAAATGTTTGTCCTTTATGACTTTATTGGATGACCTAGGTCTTTAAATGATGCCACAGTATTGAAGAATTTTCACTTGGAAGAAACGTGGCATGTATGCCAATTGAAAAAAAAAACAAATGAACTTACTTAAAATTGTTTTTAACGGAAAAAAGAACGGCTCGACAGGCTGACACGTACACCATCTTTCGAATACTTCCATAAAATTATATTTTCTAAATATAGTGATGTTAAAAAACAAACCTTAATGACATCAAACAATGTACCTCAATTTTAATTATACATGCATCCATGTATATAAGCATGATAAGTGAACACTTTGGCGTTTAAAGTATGAATGCTACACATCAATACTGAAGTTATTTTACAGTGGACTTTAGTTCATATTGCTTAAGCTGTCTCAAAATATGTTTATACTCACATACATTGTTATGTTGTTAATTAAGGAAAATATGAAATCAAAAATGAAAGTTGAATGTTTTTTTTTAATTTAAATCTTTATGTTTTATTTTATGTTATGTAACAAGGTCATTTCGTTAAGTTGTTTAAGGAAGTATTCTTGTTTTATAATTTTAATCTGTACACATATCTCTCATAGGACAACTTAAAAAAAAGTCAAATTTTGAGTCTGCCCAAAAGACATAGATTAGCTCTCAATAGTGATTTTTGATGAATTTAAATGTGACATTCAATTATAACGTTTTTGTTCTGTAGAATTAATGTTGATGATGTTATTGCCGGTAGTACAAAAGTGGAAAATGTGTCAATCCTTGTACATGTTATAACATGCATAACATGTTTACGACGACATAACTTGGATCATATTAACAATTTATTGCGAATAAGTAAAGCAGTATTATGACATAGCACTATCAAAATATAGAATGATAATTATATGAAACTGAATCAAAAACGTTCTCTGAAACATAGTCAAAAGCTTATCTTAAATGGCAGGTTTAAGCATGGTTCACCAATACCAACGAAATTCACAAAAATGATACTCCACGAATAATAAAAAATCCATAATATTTTTATTCAATAATCACATACCATCATAAATCAAAACTGTTTTCCCCCATTCGTTTACAATAAATAGTTAACTGTAGTCTTGCGACATGTTCCTTGATTCCGTGACCTGAAGTCAACTTTTCAAACCAGCTCCATTTGCATGTCCGACGTTTTTGATTCCCCTTCAAGTCTGTGTTTGTTGTTCGATCCCTGTCCACTGACGTAGATATGGCCATATTCATCAGAGCATATGTCAGTGGGTGTATCAATGGTGGTAATATTATCTATCTTAATAAGTCGTCCATATTTTCCATTATACGTGATATAATTTGGACCTCCAGTACATGATAAAAAAGACTGTTCATCAACTGCATGGAACTTATAACACATGGACCAATATGTCGTCCTCCACCTTGCGATACGACTGTGAGGCTAAAGAAAGAAAAATAAAAAGGCAGCTGAAGCCATTTAATTTTTTAATTTTTGTAACTATTAGAGTAGTCAGTGCGATTATTTATAACTTGCAATGAGCTTGAATCTAGTTTAAAGTGACCTGGAGTATTCTGAGATTGGCGCTGTGTGTCATTTTGTGTGTAAAAGAGAGGGGAAAGATACCAAAAGGACATTCATACTCCTAAGTCGAAAATAAACTGACAACGCCATCGCTAACAAAGACAAACAGACAAACAACAGTACTCAAAACCCAACATAGAAAACTGGAGAATTAGGTACCTAAGAAGGGTTAGCAGATCCTTCTCCACATGTAAGTTATAAGTTGTAGTTTGTGATTTGTGCCAAAATCACGATTTGAGCTCTATTCATCTGATTTGGCTTAATTTACATCAAAAAAATTTACGACAACAATTATGATAGACATGAACCAACGACAATCAATAAACTACATGCTACCGACTTTGGACAGGCACATACAGATGAGTGTTTAGTCGACGTTAAAGTAGCTATATGAATAGTATGGACACTGAAGTATGAAATTTATATTTCCCAAATTCATTGGTTCCTTTTTGCGAAGTGCAAACTCTGTCAAAAAAACGCACACCATAAAAGTTAACACTGACATTTATCCCTATGCAATAGTGAGTGTTGAAATAGTTTGTATACTGAAATGTATAAAGCGTTCTAACTTATTTTTGTATATTTACTTTATCGTTTTAATCCTTGTCATTTTTTTTAACAATTATTCTTCACAAATTGTCGAATGACTGCTTCCTCCGGAAGCTGGTTAGTGTCATGATGGAATTAAATTTTTCGGTCCTTATAACGATTTACTTTTAGCTAACTTGTTAACACGACTAAGCTAACCAGTTATAACGAAGCTTATCTTACTCGTTATAACAATTAAGCTTACTTGATTAAACGACTTAGCTAACTCGTTTAAACAAATTTAAGTTATTTTAGTTGTTTAAATGTGTTAGCTATGTCGTTTAAACCAGATAACTAAGTCTTTATAACAAGTTAGCCTAGTTGTTTAACGAGCTAGCTAAGTCGTTTACACAAGTTAGCTAAGTTGTTTAAACGAGTAAGTTAAGCAAAACGCTATAATAAGTTAGCTTAGTCATTATAACGACTTAAAAAATAAAATCCTCCCTGGCACTTACCGGCTACCGTAGCTTCCTAACTTTACGAGGAACATAGGTTTTATAAAATTGTCCAATCTTTGAGTGCATAATTTTTTTTTCTTAGTCATTTTCATTAATGAAACAAGTTATTATGTAAAGCCATTTCATTTCAACTTATTGAATCCTGGTCTCTTCATTACACCATTTAAAAGGCTAAATTATTGCTTAGTTACTTGATTGGGGATTCTAAAATATAACATTCTATGTATAATCTTGTTTGAGAAGAACCAGGTCTTCGTGGAGAAAAACTTACATATGATCATAATTGACAGGAAATGCATACGACACATCTTGTCAGTTAACGCCAAGAAAACATGGAACTTTCTCCGAAAAATCCAGTCCAGTACTTGGGACTGCTGAAACACAAAATACGGTAGTGCTTAGGTAGTTACATGTTGTTTGGAAGAGTTCGACCATTCTGTCAGGGTCAACTTGTAGGACAGATCTGGATTTAGGTTGTGTAATATAGCCTATATTTTGACTCGTTAAAGCAATATCATATGGTTCACTGTATACGTTAAGCTTCTATAAATAATTTCCAAAAGGATCAACTAATATTAGATTCTTTTTATCATAGTCACATAGCAAAATGTTCCCTTTTAGGGTAGCTGCTATGCCAGTAATTCGACCAAAGTCATGGTTGAATTGACCTATGTAAGAAAATCCATGTCTAACATCACCTGGTACTGCCAACACCTGTGCCATATATATACTGTTTGAAATAAAATTATATGAAATTTTGTTACATTATCATTTTCTTGAAATTTCCAGGACACATTGCACGATACACATTAATCAGTAAATAACAAAGCTTTTGAACTTTTTTCAACATGTATTTGTATTAAGCATTTGAAAATTGGATAATGATACTATATATTTCCCAAACCACTGCGCAAATTCAAACAATTTTCAAGAAATCATTTTTAGTCATATTTAATTAAATACTCATACAATGACAAATAAACTCCTACCGTTAGTATCATTAGTGCATGCGATACGTATTTAATCAACTTTATGACATAAACTTGAACTTATATCTTGACTGGAAACAAAGGGACATTTTGAACCAAGTTATATTTTCCTACCTTATTTGTCGTGCTACCGATCGTGTAAATTACTTCCTTGTTAATAATATACAATAATGTGTAAGGAGGCTTATCTTTTGTGTGAAATAAATAGAACTCATTTCATGTCTGTCAATAAAGATCGTAATAAGTGTGCATGACATGCATCGTTTTGAACGAAAACGTCACATTAAGTATTTCTTTTGACATGTTAAAATTGTGTGTCCAAAACTGTACTGGCGATTGATGTTCATATGCAACCTAAATATATATCTGGCAAGTGAACACATTGAGGTTGAAAACTCAAAACGGAAAGTCCCTAATCAAATAGCAACATCAAATGATAAAACACATCAAACGAATGGACAACAACTGTCTTATTCCTGACTTGGTATAGGCATTTTAAATGTAGAAAATGGTGGATTGAACCTGGTTTTATAGCGCTAAACCTCTCACTTGTTTGACAGTCGCATCAAATTCCATTATATTTACAACGATGCGTGAACAACACAGACATAATAGGTACAATTGGGGTACATCAGTCATCACTGTGTCACAATCTCAATTAAAACAAAAACAAACAAATATTTAACAAAGAAGCACAAAAAGCATCTATTAAATTTAACAACCACATTCATTGATTACTTATATATGTATTTTAAATCAACCCATAAAGGATTGAAATATTTGAAGTCTTGTGACTGCATTCACATCAACTTTTGTTTAGAGTCGTGTGTTTGACGTCAGAATGTAAACGTCACACAGGACGAAATATAAAATATTTTTTTTCGTTTAAACCACATCTCTTTTTATATATATATATTGACAATGCCATGGCTAAAAAAATCATCGTATAACTTTCCTAATCATTAAATATCATACTGTATAGGAAGATATACAATACGGACATAGAAAAAATGCTTTGTGTTAAGTTATTTTTGAAAGTGTTCATACAACAGTAAACTTGAATCTGTATTTGAAGTGTAACAAAACAACATGACACAAAAACAAAGTTATACTATTTATATAAAAAAAGATCAACCTAACACATAAACTAAGCTCTCCAAGACTGCAATTCAAATTAGTCTACCTAGACAAGATTTGGTAAATACATCAAACGCATGGCCTAGTGCAACATACAAGTACTGTAAGTCCAGAAATTATTGCGTGCATTTATCATTGCGATTTTGTCATTTTAGACTAAAATGCGATTTTAATTTTTGCAATATTGAAAAAAATCCTGTATAATTCATATAAAAAATTTCAAAATGCGAGTTTAAATTATTGCGAATATAACCCAGTCGCATTTTTCGTAATGATAAAAACGTCGCAATAATTTCTGAATTTACAGTATTGAGAGGATCATATGTGACATCAGCTTAACATCAAAACACGTCAGACTATTATTTTGTTTAAATGTCAACACCAACAAAGAAAATATTCAAACATTTCGCAACAATTTTAAAAGAGAACCATTTAAATGGAGCACTCATCAAGTACCAAAAATGCATCTCCTGGATGTAAGATCCTTTCGTAACAAGAGCGATGCATACATGTAACCATATATCGTGTATGCATGTATGTTCTGTATCTCCCTCCTTTAGTATGAGCACCACCATGGTTTATGGTGTAAAAAGGATGACATTTAACACACTGTACCGGTACAGATTTAATGCGAGCATTTGCCTATCCAGGTTCCCAGCCTGGCCGTGACGGGTCTTACTACCAGAAAGTTAACCTTCCCCAAAAACAATAAGTACAATGTAATAAAACATACGAACATACCAACTCACTTGATTCACTCATCCTCAAAAATATAAAAATTGCAAAATATAAAAACACATTATATACAAAATAAAGGATAAGGTCAACCCGGATACCGCACAAATGCCTAAACAACGAACGGGAAACAGGAGAGGACATGCTTGGAATCCAAACCGATATAGCTAAATGCCCAGCTGTTTTCCTGGTAGAGGAAAGCCGAAAATCTTATGATAAAGGATCTCGGAAAAAAAAACCGATCCATTAGTGGATCTGCTAAAACCCTCAGACATCAAATAGATTGGTCTGATAGTTTCCCACGTGGAAACTACTAATGGATCCCATCTGACCACATGTCTCAAACAAACCTGAAAATATCTGTAGAAACCTTCCTCAACAAAACAATATAATCCAAACCATAAAATATATCTGTAAGGACAATAATATCTATCCATGAAGCCAATTTGACAAAACAATTTCAATGGTTTTGAAGGATTCGCTCTTCAAAACTTTTCACGTCCGCTCTCATCGGCATGCTCGACTCGACTCTACTACTCCAATATTACTATAGATTTTCACTTCTTCGTACTTTGAACATCAAAATGTTTTCTCCATTTGATATGTACATGTAAACCTAACAACAAAATTATATTCATCTACCTGTGTATTATATTATTGCAAATGGCTGTTTTTTTGTGCAAGCTTATTTTTTTTGTGTTTTTGAAATTGTTTCACATTTCACAGCAATATAATACTGTTACTTTAATTATTCATCCCTAATTTTATTTATTTTGTATTTACATTGTATCATAGATCATATTTCTTTGTTCAGTGTATATCCACTTGAGTTAATGTGTCTTTTGATTGATTTAAGCCATTTTAATTGATATTTTATAGTGTGTATTTCTAAGATGTGATGTTACACTATCGTTTCAGATAAGGGTGAAGGTTTGGTACCATTTAAATGTTTAAACCAGCTGCAATTGTTTGCACCTGTCCTAATTCAGGAATCTGATGTACAGTAGTTGTCGTTTGTTGATGTGTTTTATAAGTGTTTCTCGTTACTTGTTTTTTTTTATATAAATATGACTGTAGGTTTCCCCGTTTGAATGGTTTTATACTAGTAATTTCTTGGGGCCCTTGCTGTTCGGTGTGAGCCAAGACTCCGATTTGAAGACCGTACTTTGACCTATAATGGTTTACTTTTATCAACTGCGATTTGGAAGGAGAATTGTTTCATTGGCACTCTTACCGCATCTGCTTATTTTAAAGATGAGAATATCGTGCATTCTTCGTAATCGATTAAAGAGATCAATTGGATGCCTTTGTCTGTAGGAGTAATTTGTTTCATAGGACCTTTATACGACCCTTAAATTTGCAAAAAAAAACAATTGATCGTCAATCCTTACATTTATAAAAACAAGGATACATGTTTAACATCTTTAAACAGTATACTATTGCTGAATTAAATATCCTATGTGTTACATTAATGTAGTAATCATGTTAATTGCTTGATTCATTTAATATTAGAAACGGAAAGCAATCGAAATGCCAATGGAGAACATATGACAGCCATTTAATTTTGTAATACAACATAATCAATAATACATATCATCCAGTCCTGATTCAGTGCGATATTTAAATAAATGATTTCTGATTAATTACGACAATTAACGTCAATTAGTAGCAATCGTTTGTCTTTTCGCGCTTTGAAAAAGTGATCTCTTTTGATAGGGTCCATGACGCAAAAATCATTACCCATTATGTTTCATTATTATTATTATTATTACATGTATAACAGCGCATTATATAATATTAAAATTACCCTAGGCGCTTTCCAACATATATATATTCACATATATAAGTATTACCAATAAAGTATGAAAATTTTAAATAAATCCTAAAACAAAAAGCTTTTAAAAATATTGCATATAAAATATACTATTGAACTTACTGATAAACAATAAAATGTATATGAAATGGGCATGGTAAAATTAAGGAGATATTAAATGTATCAATCAAAGTAATGAAAAAAGGAATACCATGATAACATTTTTTTATTTGTTTTTCATCTCAAATTGAAAACTTAGGTCTAAAACATGAACCCGCATTTCTCACTGCTGGTTCAAGACGAACCTTTCCACCGGTTTGAGAGATTTTGTTTGAAAGATATTGATCACAGAGCAAATAATCATTGTTGATATATCATACATATAGCTATGTGGGTACTATTACTACGAATGTTTTTTTTTTAATTCAAAGCATAATTAACAAATAGCCAATTTCTATATACATGGTATAGTATAATATTGAACAGAAAATTTGTATTTGTATTTGATCATCAAATAACATCAAAAACCAAAACTGATTTTCCCCATTCGTTGACAATATACAGTTTACTATAGTCTTGGTTGAAGCACAAGGCGACAGGTTCCTTGATTCCATGATGTGAATCCAATGGTATGTCTAGTACTTTCCAATCAGTTTCCATTCTTTTTAATTTGTTCGAATATTTCGTGTCCTCTACCAGTCTGTGTATGTTATTCGATCCCTGTCCACTAACGTAGATGTGGCTGTTGTCGTCAGAGCATATGTCCGTTGGCGAGTCCATGGTGGCAATATTATAAATCTTATTGTGATAAAATGTGTCCATATGTGGCCGTCTGCTTGTGCTGAAGTTGTGCCTGATATAATTTTGACCGCCTATACAAGATACGAAAGAATCTTTATTTAATGTATGGAACTTTACAACACGTGAACCAATCATACGTCCATTTTTAGATATGTCTGTGATGGTGCTGGAACTTAAAAAAAACAATGAAATTATTTACATACATAATAAAATACATAAACACTGGTATGTATAACTTGTAAAGTATGCATTCAAGGATTCCGTTACAAACTTGATCTAACTACTCACCTCATTCTTCGAAAGATACATTTTTGTTGGAAGTTTGGTTGTGCTTGTTACAACACACGTGATATCACGCAATCATGATAAGGTTGATGTTTCGAAAGCTAAAGATACACCCCTTTATAGCTTAGAATAAGGTTTTCAATTCAATAGCATAGTAGATATTATCATGATCGGTTTTTACATTGATTTTTTTTAAATCAAATAAAGACAACTAGTTATGTATTGCAATTCAGTGATAAATACATCCTGTCGATACGTATATTGAAGCATTCCATAAAATCATCTGGTTTATCTTTCGAAGTCCTACTTTATGTTAATAAGTGGAGCACATTGTATTTTTGCAGCCTACAAAATTATAAATGATTGTTGAGTTATCTGATTGGAAATTCGATTAAAAATGACATTTTTTTTATGGCTTATGTTGTTTGAGGAGAAAGAGGTCTTTGTGTAGAATATTTATTGCACATTAAACTAACATTTGTTCGTAACTGACACCACCTGCATACATACAACCATCTTTGTTAACTCCAAAAAAACATGGTTTTGTCCCTGATAAATCCCTTCCAGTATTAGGTAGTGCTGAAACACAAGACACTGTAGTGTTTAGGTCGTCGCAAGTTACCTTGAAGAGTACAATCATTTTATCAGGGTCAATTTGTAGGACAGTTCTAGAGTTTGGTTGTGTTATATAGCCTATATTTTGACTCGTTATAGCCACACCATATGGTTCACTGTCTACGTCAAGCTTATTTAAATAATTTCCATGGGGATCAACTAATATCAGATTCTTTTTAACATAGTCACATAACAAAATATTCCCCTTTATTGTAGCTGCTATCCCAATAATTCGGCCGAAGTCATGGTTGAATTGACCTATGTAAGAAAATCCATGTCTAACATCTCCTGGGACTGCCAACACCTGTGCCATCTAAAATATTTGAACAGAACTATCAGTTTTGTAACTTTTTTATTATTATCTCAAAACGATATGTACCACAAGATAATATTATTACTAGATTAAATCGTGCCTCATATATTTCCCGGTGAATGTTAAGTTTTATTAAGATTTGACGACTAAATTGCAAGATAAACAAGAAGGAAATTATAATAGTTTTTGAACATTTTGTTCAAATCAACACAAAGTGACCTACATACATTTTTATATTGTGTCTATTAACGGTAAGGCAAACAGGTAAGACGGACTTACTTATTTGTATTTTACTGGATATCATAAACAGTAAACATGTAACAGTTAAAGCTTAAGGTTAATGGTACTCAGTCTGACATTTGTACATGAAAAACGTAGCGAATACTGTAGACGTAAAGTTAAGTTTGAGAATGGTTGTTATTGTGCTTTATTGATTTAACATAGGGTAATGCACACTGTATATCTTTGGAAGGTTTGCATTTTTAAAAGTTAATTCTTATATATTTATCATGTTTATTTCAAGAGTTGCTGCTGTTCATAGACTGTTTTTATATGACCAACTTTTTACTCCGGGTTTTATAATTTTTCGACAAGATAGCTTTTCTGTTGGAAGACACCCTGGTACACAGTCAAGTAAGAGCAACAACAATAAGTGAAATCAAACATAATCGGTGTAATTTGAGGGGAAAGTCATCTAATTTCCGATGATGTTGTTGTGTAAAGAAAATATTAAGCATTTAATTTTCCCCACAAAATGTACCGATTGAAAGCTTGATTTTTACTTGTTCATTGCTCTTGCTTGTTACTGAGATGTCCAACCACAGTGTAGGTAACCAGTCGAAAAAGTCGGTAATATGAATATAGTCTAAAAAATAAAAAAAAGTAAGCATTTGTCTGGCGCACTTTTTAAAAAATATTAAGTATATGTCTTATTTTTTAGGAAATATGGTTTTAAGTAAAAGGTGTGTTTTTCCAAGGTAAACGTTTATCTACGCCACATTTAGTGTCAGACTATTCATACAAAATGCCTTTTTTTGGTTATTTTTGGTATTCTTTGTTTGCATATAAATCTGTTATGAAGATTCTGATGTAAGTGGTTGATGTGGTCTGTTGTTCTTGTAATTCTGCCAGTTCCAGTTACCATAGTTCATGCATTAAGACTACATATATTTTAAAAATAGTAGCACAGTATGCTAGTTGCTGTATAGTAGATAAGATAAAGCAGAATAATATTTCCACTATTCTTATATGAAAACATCCAACGTAAAGATTTTAAATTACAGACAAATTCAATATACCCTGACATCTATATAATTTCCGTTTCATTACTTCCGAATCACTGTACTAAGTTCAAGGCTTATGTTACGAAAATCTTGTTTTAATCAAATTTGTTTCGCCCCTCTTTTCCAATACTCGAACAATGCTTAATAACAATATTGTAAATGCCCTCATTAATTGTGACACATTCTGACATACACTTGAACTAACATCTTGGCTAGAAACAAAGGATTTTTTAAATTAGGTAATATTACATACGTACCTTATTTTGTTGCGTCACAAATCGTGTAAATTACTTCCTTGTTTATTTATACCTATTGATTTTATGTGATAAAAATAACATTCAAATGTATGACTGCAAAGAAAGGTCAAAACAATCTCAAGGTCTATGAAACGTAAAAGCAAATTTTTTCTTTTTTTGTCATTTCTTGGTTCATTTAATTAAACAATCAATTCAGGCACGGTTATATGTAGCTATTGCATGTAAGAATTAATGGAATATAACTGTTTGGATTTGAACACTTTTTTATACTCAACAGACGAAAGATCCGTTTTTCGACTCCAAAATCTAATCCGTTAGTTTTTTACGTTGGTGTAGGCGTCTTGTCAGATTTACTCTCACTTACCAGAAAGGTTTTTTGCGTCTTTGTTTATTTTTATGTTTGTTTGAATTCTTTTGAATTATCGATTGAGTAGCAAGCTTATTGTTTTTTGCGCTAAAATTAATTTTCACTGTTTTACACATTTGTTACCTTCAATTTGTTTTGCAGAAAATTGATTTTCTACTTGTCTTATGCAAGATGTCTTATAAGACCAATGTATTCTTTATCGGGAAGCTTAATAACAAAATGTATGATAAAAGAGATGATTTGTCATTTCCTTTTGTTATTTATTCATTTTTAGATGGTGACGTTCCCTTGTCGCCATCTTATGGTGTTTATATATCTCAACTTGTTCGATTCGCTCGTGTATGCAACAACGTATTTGATTTCAACGAAAGAAATCTCTGTATTACTAACATTATTACACCAGGGTTTTCGATATCACAAACAAGTCAAAACATTTACTAAATTATATCATCAGTACAAGGACATCATTCGTAAATATAAATCAACATGCAGACATCCTATACGTTCAGGTATTTCACATCCAATATTTTATGGTAACATTCTTTACAAAGCACAAACATGTCGGCATTCACCTCAAAAGCTTACCAAACCTTTAAACAGACTTATTTGGAAAGGATATAGTTACGATACTGTTGTCAAGTCATTAAAGATTGCATATTTTGGTATTAATATTTTTTCACTCATAAGGTCTTTGCATCGGAAATAACCACATGTATTCTAAAACCAGTGGTCTGTTGTTCAACTTGTCGTTAGTGCTAACGAGTCGTTAAAATTTCTTAATCATCCGATTAAAATAAATCATATGATTAGAGTGATGTTTAACTTGTCGTTAATTTTAACGAGTCGTTAAAAATGCTTAAGCTGTCGTCAAAATTAATCCACCTCTTTGAGGTGTATTTAAATTTTAATCATATGATTAAGATATCAAAAAAATGGCTGACATTGCAATGCTTCATCTGCCTAGAGTTAGGAGAGAAAGGCATTATCGAGATTTTAATCCATTAAATAAAGATTACAGTAATGAGCAGCTACGACAAAGGTATAGATTTGGTAGAGAAACCATTGAATTTCTTGCAAATGAGTTGAGAGGCGATTTGGAGAGAAGTACCAGAAAAAAGACAGCCTTGACAGTTGAACAGCAAGTCATGATTGCCCTTCGTTTTTATGGCAGTGGAAGTCAGATGCAAGTAGTCGGAGACACTATGGGTTATAATAAGAAGTCTACTGTGTCAAGAGTAGTAAGCGATGTTACTGACGCCTTGGTAGCTAGGAAAGATCAATACATCAAATGGCCAACAGAAGAACAGAAAAATGTCAACAAACACGCTTTTTATGACAAAGCTGGGTTTCCAAATATAATCGGCTGTATAGATGGGACACATGTTCATATTCAAGCACCTACCGAAGATGAACCTGCTTATGTAAACAGGAAAGGCTTCCACAGTGTCAATGTCCAGGTTATTTGTGATCATCAAGGTACGTGTGTTGTTTTCTCCACGTTCATATTTCAGGACGATAAAAATTTCTTTTTCTTGCTTGACGATGAACAGAGATTGAGTCATAAGAACGACAACTCATTTGGAAGCTAGACCAAATAGTCCCCACATTTCACCTACAAACTCGCCCCGCTCTTAAACACCGTGTTGCACCTAAGCCATTCGCGTAATTGAACGTGATGATAGAATCACTAGACTGATAATATTGACTTCACAGGAACGTATATAATTTCTTTTGAATGATATATACGTTTGAACGTTTGTATAAACAGTTCACATTTTAAAAAAAAGTACAAGGTGACCATCCCCATGTTCTTGTTAAGTCACATATTAGGTGTATATACTACATCTATAAACTGTTGATAATTACAGAAATTATGTCCAGTGTCGGATCCAGAAATTTTCATAAGATGGGACCCACTGACTGCTTAAGAGGAGGCCCGCTTCAGTCATGCTTCAGTGATTCCCTATATAATCAACCAATTTTTTTCCGCAAAAGGGGGCGGGCCCCCTAAAAAAACCCTCTAAATCCGCCTCTGATGACCTTTATATTTTTGCATAACCCCACAGTTTGAGAGAGGAAATTTTAAGAGTCGGAAATCGGCAGTACCGTTAACGTTAAGCTTAATAGGATGTCGTATGGAATCGCGATGTCCCTATAGACAAACAAGCAAGTTTTCTGCAATAAAAACGGCACGAACAGATTTTTCACGCTTAACTTTAGGCCCACATTATTATTACATGCCAACTATATAATTTGTACAGAGACACAAAATTAACATGATGCACTTGTACAAATTATACCTTTAGCAGGTGCGTGAAATAACCCTACAGTACAAGGCTGTGTAATCGCCGACTATATCACCATTTTTTTGCAATAATATAGGTTTATGACACAAAATACATATGGTCAAAAATTTTACAAATTTAATGCGCAACACTGTGCAATTGAAGATTTCTTCTTGAAACTTTTCAAAAATTTGAAATTTGAAAAATGTTGAAAAAAAAAATATGGACCGTTTAAAAAATATTGGAACCCCCCCTTTCAAACTTTTTGAACCCCCCTTGGAGCATTAATCATCAAACTCAATCCCAGTCTTTCCTTTGTAGTATGGAACCTTGTAGTACAGTTTTAGAGAGATCCATACACTTAAACATCAGTTATTGTCTGGAAACTTTAAAAATGCTTGTTTTGGCTCTTTTTTTTTTGCACTTAAATCCTGCATGTTAGAAAATTATAACAAAATCATTGTAAGGGAGGTAACTCTAATGCAAAAAAAACCCAAACCTATTTAAATACATCATAAGAGTATTAAATAGTGGTTATAAACCTTGTGTTTAAATTTCATGGATTTCTACTTACTTAAACTAAAGTTATTGTTCGGAAAACAACTGTTTCCGGACGACGACGCGACGTGATACCAATATACAACCGCAACAATTTTTTGCGGTCGTATGAACAAAAAAAGTATTAGAGAAGTTGTGAAACAAAACTAACTTCTAATATCACTACATGGCGATCGAGACTTCAGGGAGAAAAACCTATATATACCACCACGGAAAAAACTTGTTAGTGCAGTGCCCCATAAAATTACGTTTAATACAAATGTTTTTTTTTAACCAGAACATTGTGTCAAAAGTTTAGAAAATTTCACCTTTAACCATGTATATAGATATAAGAAGATGTGGTATGAGTGCCAATGAGACAACTCTCCATCCAAGTCAAAATTTATAAAAGTAAACCATTATAGGTCAAAGTACGGTCTTCAACACGGAGCCTTGGCTCACAACGCACAGCAAGCTATAAAGGGTCACAAAAATTACTAGTTTAAAACCATTCAAACGGGAAAACCAACGGTATAATCTATATAAAAAACTAGAAACGAGAAACACTTATTAACCACATCAACAAACGACAACTACTGACCATCAGATTCCTGACTTAGGACAGGTGCAAACAATTGCAGTGGGTTCAAACGTTTTAATGGTACCAAACCTTCATCCTTATCTGAAACAATAGTGTAACATCACAATATGTGTGTTTATAGAATTAATAACGAATGTGAATGCAAAATGGCCTGGGTCTGCACATGATGCCCATGTTTTTAGAACGTCAGCAATTGGAAGATATCTTGAAGATAACTATCAGGGCATTAAACAAGGACTGTTGTTAGATATCCATGTAGCCCCTTCCTGCTTACACCATACAGGCAACCAGCAAAAAGAATGCAGGAACGCTTTAACAGAAGTTATTGCTCTACCAGATCTACAGTATAAAGAGTATTTGTCATTTGGAAGAAAAGGTTCCACGTGTTAGGGTCAGAGGTAATTTATTTCTTTACTTCTTCAATCGGTTTGAAATTTGTTCACAGATCAATAATATAGGTGATTTCCCAAAAATTGCAGAGACCAGTAATATGAAAACATTAGTGGAACACCTTCAACGCAACCTACTTCAAGTAAAGACCAATAATATAGGTGATTTCCCAAAAATTGCAACAGACCAGTAATATGAAAACATTAGTGGAACACCTTCAACGCAACCTACTTCAAGTAAAAACGTCAGTGTTCTATTTTTCCTCTATATAGGTCAGGGGCGAATCCAGGATTTTAGGATAGGGGGTGTGAATCTTAAATTTTCCACTAGCAGAGCCAGACGAAATTTTTTTGAGGTAAAATTAGCGAAATATTCTTTATTAAGCTGAGGACAATTCATGATTTCAGGGGGCATTCCAGCCACGCCCCCGCCTTTATCCACCTCTGTTAAGTCATTATGCCGGTCAAACAAATGATACACCTATTGCAGACTGTTCTCATGTTAGTTTAACAACAAGTACAATAACTGTATTGATCCAAATGGTTTCTGCTCTTTGGTGGGGTTGTTGTCTCTTTGACACAATGCCCATTTCCATTCTCAATTTCATAACCTATTGTTAACTGTTAATTATTCGTGGTCAAAAATGGAAAGCAAAAAAAAAAAACATTTGGGTCATAACATGGAATGTTGCTAGAATTTATATCAAATTGTCTTAATGGAGTATTTTTTAGATTGTATACAATGTTTCAAAAGGAACAAAAAGCTGCAATTTATGTTTCTTGTATTCAATTGTTTATTCATTGTAACAATTTAAAACTTATTTTTGAAAAGTTTATGTCTATTACAGATAAGAACGAAACCAGG